TATTCAAAAGGCTCAAGTCAAAATCGAGCTCATGTTGTTTTCGAGATCACTCCTGTTTGATTGGTAACGTAGACACCTTGCCGCCGCCGCGCGGGCCGAGAGAGCCAGGCAAACACCAATTCACAACCCATGTAAATTACGTGAAGCATCACGTGAAACATGAGGCGACAAATACTTCGCGTGACATCTTCGCAGTGACGTCAGCCTCTTTGTATAGCGCGGTACAACAGGACATGTAGTCTATAATGTATTGTTGTCTACACTGTTGTGTACGTTATCAGGAAGTATCTTGGCAGTAAAATCTCAGACTGTCCGTTCAAGCAAATTTGGTAAATATCATTCCCCTTCAATGCATAAATAATTTAATGAATCATCAAACCCGAGGGTGAAATATTCGCGAATGAAGGAACCCACACGCTGCGCGTCGTTGTAGAATCGATCGTACGGGCGGAGATCTTTTAACAACGTCTCGTTTCATCCTGCCCAAGTGTTCTTGGGCTATTACAACAACGTCGTGTTGGCGCCGGCTGAGAAATAGTCGCGGTGCTTCCGCATGAGAGTCTTGGTTACAAGTCCGACAAAGTTCACTAATACTGTAGACGCCTTGTTGAAGAAGCGCATAGGTCAGCAAGCTGACTGATTTCTCATACTCATGCAGCGGACACCAGGCAGCAACAAGTCCAAAAAGATTTCATGGACGTGAGGGTTTTGACTGCTCTATCTCGCCCCACCCTCTACGAACCCCCCTTCTTGAGAACAGGCCAAAGAATGAAGTAGGACACTATCTGAGCTACGCCTGGTTGGCGTGCATACTATCTACTCCACCCCCTTGGCGCTTGTAGCCGGGCATGTTCTATTCAAACAAGGAAGCGTCTTAATAGCGAGCAAAAACTGCCTGCAGATCCAAAGGAGGTTGTCGGTCTCTGCGTGAAAGCCAGAGTCGTACCGGTAGAAAACCTCAACTTACCTGTGTCATGACTATGGTCTCGGACAAGGCCGCGGGTTGCGTCGCTGACTCCTCCGACTCCACAGAGCAGCCCTGTACGCTCTTCCACGATCTCAGTCCCCGCTCGATAGTCATAACCTCAACCACCAGCACGTAGCTCGACAAGAAGCTGCGAAGAACAGTGTTTGTGGCAGAAGACGTAGTCGTTTTCGGTGTAGACAACATCGTTTCGTGCGAGAGCTGCTTGGTGTGACGGCATACCGTGGGTTCTCGCCTATGATACAATAGTGTACTGATGACAAAATAACCTAGAACAGTCCGGGTTCCCATCAAGGACGGCTCTAAGTCACCAATATCACTGTAGTGTAGACGCTTTTTACCGACACAGCTCGCGCTAAACGGGGATGCCCCGTGCGCTGGAATGATTGATCTTGGAAGGCGTACCGCGGTGCTGCGATCCTACGCGAGGACCCACACCGAAGGCATACGAACGTCGAACCGCGCTTGTCAACGTCTCGCATGCAAGTCATTCGTCATCTACATCCACAGCTACTTTGAACTCCGTCTCATTCGTCATAATTGAAGCTCGAATGAACATTCAATATCGTCTGTACTGTGAATGCACAAGAGGTACCATGCTGCTGAAAGGTCGTTCAGGGGTGTGGCCTATCAAGACTACGCTGCCACTTGCAGCTGTACCGTTGGGCGGGATGTGTTGATCAACAGCTAACCTTCCGTCGGCCTCACAGGGGGCGGCCAGAAGACCCTCCTCGTCGTAGGTGCACGCCGTGCGGGGGATGCTGCAGGTTATGACCTCTTTGTCGTCCGTCGTCTCGTGGCGTCCAAATCCTTGCATCGATTCCAGTGGGCCGCGTCGGACCCGAGGGTGTGTTCGCGTGGGGTCGAGAGCGACGAAAGGTTCACATTGTGGCTCCACCCTTTGGGTACATTTCGAACTTGTTGCAGGACGCTCCCATCCGTGTGGGGAACCATCAGAAGCCCAAGAACTTGCCAACACGATTTCCGCTCACGTGTCAACAACTGGGTGATGCTTTGGCGACACACGGCGTACGTGTTGCGTAGGGATGGGCTGGGACACAGATCATGTTCAACTACGTTCGGCGGTAGGTAGTTCCTAATGGTACCTGGAACCGCTTCGCTTCAGTCAGTTTGCTATTGGCCTACAGTGGTGCATATTTGCTGATAAACTTACGTTGCAATGCACAGGAGGACGGAAAATTGTCAACCCGCCGATACCAATACCCGTGATGGTTGGATATGCCTCCCACACCGGTCTCAGAAAATTGTGGGCACTATAATCGGGGCGTCAACCCCTCAGCCTTACGCGTGTGCATCAACGGTCGTTCCTAGCAACAACTTGTGACCGCATGAAAACATATATAGTAGCCTCGCCCGAGTCTCGCACGCGGTTCCGAGACTTCCCGCGCGCACCAGAAGACAAAGAGCTACCGCATCAACACCTTTGTGGGGTTGAACACCTCTCGATATACCCCGGAAACGGTTGTTCTTCGTGTCCGGCACCATGTTTAACCTCACAACGGCGGAAGGAACGGTATTGCGATAAAGTATGGCGAAATGCCCCCAATGTTTTGGAGATGAAATCCTGTTCAATAACTTCTTGCTGAGACATTTGCGAGTGGGTGCTGACGATGGCTCCTTTTAAGCGTACTCACGAAACTCCCAGCCGAAGTGGTTGACAAACTCAGCGAACGCAGTCGAGATTAGCGGGCACGAAAACGTCCAGGTATCGCCCGACACGTCGGTGTTCGAGCAGCACGAGGCACAGTACGCCCCCGTTGTGCCCTGGTTGTATTGCTGCCGGAGACCAGCAACACCAAAGAGCCAGGATGGGCATTGCATGAAAACAAAGAATATATTTTCGATCTAAGCAGCACGCCGAGTGGCATCAAGAGGCTGATGCCAATGTCCGTAGCCTCCAATGCCATGTGTCTGTGGGGCTACGTCGGTTGGTGAGGCGAGGGGAACAGGGTGGGTTTGTGCACAATTCCCAGCGTGCCCAATGTGTACAACTGTGCGTGTCAAGGTGGACGTATGTGTACCCGTGGTCCGCATGGCCTGCACCCCGATCTCTAGCTTAATGCATTGCCAAGGTCGAAAGCTCGCCAACGGCTCAGACAAAACGCCCACATGGCAGCGGAAAGCGCCTCTAGAAATGTTTGTTGTTTGAGTTCACTTTAAGCAGCCGAGACGCAGAACATACCCTAATGTAAGCAGATGAAGATCATGACGACGTCTGGAGGAATGCTGAACTCACATCGAGGAAGTCAATCAACCAATTTGGAGACGATGGTTCGCAGCTGCCGACTTCTAGCCCGCCGAAGCACGTATGTGTCACCTGCACTTCAATAGCGCAGGAGATACAAAATTTCACGACAGACCTTTTCACTCCTGGATACAAACCCCCCCCCCCCCCCCCCCCCCCCCCCCCCCCCCCCCCCCCCCCCCCC